GCGAGAAGGAAAAGTAATCAGCAGCTCGTGCGGCCTCTCCCGGAACGCATTACTCTTTCACGAGGCACGAGCATTTTTTTTTTTTTCTTTCAAGGGTGAGGAGAGATCTCCCTCCCTCTAGTCGAGATTTCTGGCGCAACGACGAAGAAGAAACGTACATACGCACGATGGAGCAACACAAAAGTCCCGTGTTTTACACGGGAGGCCGGCCATTTGTTTAGACATTAGCATAAAGCGCACCGAACTTCCTGGCCTCACAGTCACGTTCATTAGCATCTACTCGAAAGCAAGCGTGGAATGTCGCTTATGTGTACCGTTGACTTTTTCTTTTCTTCCCGTTCCCTTTGTCGCCGTCGTGGCTAACCTTTCGCGTTCTCTTCTCTCTCTTCACCCTCTCTTCGCGCCATTATCCCTCGCAACGGGGACACAAAAGCAATCGCGACGTACCCGATTTCGTGCGATCGTAACCCTTTGCCCGAACCATTTCCCATTGTCCCGCGCGAATCGAGGGTGAAACGAAGCGTGAAAATCATCTCGAATTCGCCGCCCGTCCGCAACAATGTTGTTTGCACTTGGTCGATTAACGATTATCCCAAACAGTGGCGATAACATCGAATTTGTACGAGCCTGTAATAATAATAAGTCGGGTTGTCAGTCATGATTTCGTTCGATACGAATCGATAGAGATTGATAAACTTACCTTGCAGAAAGATCCCCACTTCAAGACGATGCTTCGTGCATCTATGATCGAGAGCTGTTTATGTATTTATAAGTAGGCTGGGATTTGCATCTACGTGATCATTATTCTTAGCGAGGAAAATTGGCCTTGGCACGGTAACGAATCCATTTCGAGAAACGGGCGTGAAAATTTCGCGGGTGAACGATATTAAACGGGTGGAAAGATCGTGTATACGTATGAGATGATTCAATGGGGAGATAAGAAATATATATATGTGTAGACAATAATTTGTATACGTATGAAATAATAAGAATATAAATATAGCGTATAAAATGATAATAAGAATGTAAATGTAAAAATTGGATTATTGAATAATTATTGTTTGTAAAATGTTTTAATTCGATAGTAAAGTTAATCAGATATTGGAGCCGTCTCTTGAGCGTATAAATACGGAGCAAGTATGAAAAAGGAAAGAAAATAGTGAGAGAAGGATAAAAACGAGGTAAATGAATGAATCTTACCGCCATCTATTGAGCGCGTGAGTAACAAGATGTAGACAAGGAAAGAAAACATTAGGAGAAGGATGGAGATAGTATAAAAATACTGCAATCAGCGCCATCTTCAGAGTGCCGCAAATGAAACTCGAAATCTAAGGATAGAAAATAGTTAGAGAAGGATGAAAATAGCAAAAATGGGACTCGTGGCGCCATCTCTCGGTTATTAAAAAAATTTTCAGAGTTTATAAAAATACTCGAGAGATGGCGCCAGGAATAGGTTTTGGCCTATTTTGTCCTTCCTTTCGCGTTCAAGAGATGGCGCCAGTTTGTACTTAACACCGCTTGGCAAATAAGACTACGCATTAAATATATCCAATAAACTTTCCTATACCGTGCGAACGAAAATTTTAATTTTAAATATTTAAATATCATAATTTTCAATATTTTATAAATAATATAATACGGTAATTTATATTTTATCGAGACAAATGAATCGATAAAAGTGTATAAATTATCATCCATACAGAATGTGATCATATTATCCACAGTAGTAAAAAATAATTCGACCTGAAAATTAATCATTGATTAATCACAGTTCGCAATTGTTGAATTTATTACTTTTCACAAAAAAATTGAAATTTGTTTGAAAGAAATAATAAAATTTCATAATTTGAATAGTTAAAAAAATGGAAAATATATTTCACGATTTTTTATTAGGATCTTATGACTGCAAATTCAATATGTACATAATAGTCAATATATGCATCATATGGATTCTATATAAACGAGTAAAATATGCTAATAAAAATTAAGTAAAAAATTTGTAAAAACATATAGCATGTCACGAAGATCAACAATCGTACATTAAATCGTGAATTAACATTTACCAAATGTTTAAATAATTCTAACACGTATTAAAAAAAGAAAAAAAAATTCCTCTCCAATTTAGAAGATTTTAAGAAAAATTTGCAACTCGGATCAAGCAATTTTATAATAACCCAACCAATTACAAAATACGAATTCCCCGACAAGTAATAATCGCGTCTAATACACATAGTTTATTTTAACTATAAGTTATCGTTACAATATACGCACAATAGTCTAAAGTCTTATTGTATAACCAGATATATTCTCTCTTTCAGTTACTCATACACACGTAGCGCCTTATATTAAATTTGCTGAGAGCAAAATAGGAACTGTGATCGCCTGATGTACCCGATTCGTCTTCACCCGATCTATAAGTAAATTCTCAATTGCTACACAAACGTATTTAAATCTCCAAATTAAAACCAAACGTTTTCTTCCATTCATCTTCCGTAATACATTGGAAGAAATCCAAATTTCGTTTCACGAAAGGAACGTTCGTTTGAAATCTAAATCCTTAATATATATTTTTCAAAATCGATCCAATGAACGAAACTCAAACAAAAAAAAAAAGAAAAAAAAAGAAAAGAAAGAAAACAAAGAGGAAGGAGATTAAAATCAAGAAAAAAAAAAAGAAATTATTCCAAATCGACGAATTCGTGGTGCGATTTGCGTACAAATCAGGCCGTAAGAAGGCACCAGAGCTACGTAACGCACCAACTTCTCTCGACACGATTCGATAAAAGGCTTCCATCGAAATGTTCGTAGGAGGAGAAGCAGAGATCGCGACGATCCGTTAGAAAAACGTCTCGTTAAGTTAACGAGGCGTCCACGAAGCATGGCGCGGCCGGTAGAAAAATTACCCGACCTTTTTTCTCCGCGCGCTCGCACACTCGACGACGATCCGTTTCCAGGATGAGGAAACCCGCTCTCCGCGTGAAATACGCGACGTCGAATCGATGGGAACGTCGCGCGCATCCGTATTAAAGCGGACCTTTTCTCTCTTCGAATCCAAGCCCCGGGCTCCGTTCCTCTTTCGGTTGGCAACCTTTAAAAAAACGGCTCTTCCCTCGGGCCAGACGTTCTCACTTTCGATCGATTGCACGCGAATCGAGACAGAGATCCGTGCGAACGGAATCTGATAGAACAAGTAGCAGTGAAATCAAATAATAGCTTGAAACAGATGCATTTTTCACGCATCACGACTTTAATATATATATATATATAATTAATTTCATCTTTCCTTGAAAAATTTAATTCACGAATTATTTCTAAGAAAGATTAATACATCGAGGAGTATTTCTATTTCTTCGCTGCATTTGTACGCGTCTCTCTGATCGAGAGAAGAGCGTGTAAAAATGAATTTCTAAATAATAACGATATCTACGAATTTCGATCGAAAGAAAGAAGGTTTCAAGGTACTCGCGTAACATGAATATTTGATTTAGCAACCAAGCCGATTTATATTATAATATTCTCGTCGCTGATCGATGAAATATCGGCGATAAAAGAAAAAAAAAGACGTACATGGCTCACGTGATCGCATCGTCACTGATAATCTCGCGACGGATACCCGATTACGCTTGAAAATTACGCAAGGAATCCGTAGCTCGAACTACGCACGTGATACGTGAACATTCCACCACCCTCTCGGCTTCCTTCTTCTCCCTTCGAGCGCGATGCATCGTGCATCGTTGCACGGTTTCACGCTCCCCAACGTATTTAGAGGCAATTTCCGGCCCGATCCATTATTCCTGGATGCGGGCAACCTCGATAAATAATAAACGGCGATAAAACGCGTCGACCGCATTCCCCGCGGTGTAAATCGTTCCAATCCTCTATTTCTTTCTTCGCCTCTATTTTTTCGTTTTTTCTTCTTTTTTTTTTCGTTACGAAAAAAAATATATTCTCTCCTCTCCAAAGTCTTTCAGATTTGTCTCTCGATATACGTGTTCGATTATTTATTTCGAGGAAATTATTCGTCGGATCGAAAGTGTGGCCTTCCCTGGCTCTTCTACGTATATGTGTAATCTCGAGGATTAGATTTTGTACTTCGATCGAACGAAATTTCCACCACTGTTCTACGAATAATAAATTTTGTGATTCACTTGTGGTGGAAAGATCGACGACGTACGGCGTGATTATCGATTTGAGATATTGGAAAACCGTAGAGATTTCGATCTGAAATTATACGCGAAACGAAAAAAAGGATAAGATTAAAGATTAAGTTTGTTCGAAAGGAATAAAAAATAGGATGGATATAAGATAAAATTTGCACACGATTTGTATAGATGGATGTTTCTGACTTACCTCGAAAATCGGTAAAATCAAAATCGAATAGGTTAAGGATACTTACTTCTCGAAACGAGAAAAGAAGGAACTGAAATAAATGGGAACTGAACTGAACGCAGCACAGTTTCTCTCCTTTCTAAACATATTTTATTGTAATCGTATTGGCAAGTTGGATGGCTTACATGCTAAGAATGGCAAAATAAAAACGTATTGAACATAAAGTAGTAACGTAGTATGTGTGAAGGAAGGAAGGAAGGAAGGAAGGAAGGAAGAGGAGACAAAAAATTATAAAAAAAAAAAAGAAAGAAATAATAATCAGATTTAAAAAATTTGAGAAAATTCGTTGGAACGGTTAATATCAGGTAGATAAATAGATTGGTATTTACAAGGTGTTAAAAAAAGAAGAAAAAGAAAGGAGAGGAAAGAATTGGGAAGACAAGACAAGATATAGGATTTTCAGGGGAAAAGAAAACAGGATATATCTGACATACTGGCTCGTTCACGTTATAGCAAGACTGCCTCTGTCTCAATGGCGAGAAACGTGGGCGAAGAAAAAAAAATCGATGGGCGAAGAAAAATACAACGAAAGATAAAAAAAAATAAAAAAATCCAAAAGGACGAAGGAAAAGAATATATTCGAAGCGTGAAGCGTTTTCCTTCTGTGCACGTTTCTTTCTTTTTTTTTTTCCCCTCCCCCCTTTTCTTTTAATGCCCACGAAATAACGCGATCTCGTTTTCCTTGTATCTTTTTTTTTTCCTCGATTCCCTGCCAGGAGACAGATGTACATCATTCTTTTCTAAACACGATCTAGCGAAGCTAATAATAATGAAATGATAATGACAATAATAATAATAACATTAATATTAAATGACGGTAATAAAAAAAAACGTAACGTAACAATATTGAAGCACCTTAATGATAGTTAACCGTTAAGTAAAGAACGAGGTGGCGTTGCGTCTCGATGACGGGGCCCATGATGATCGGTAATTCTCTCACTTTCTCTCTCTCTCTCTCTCTCTCTCTCTCAATCTTTCTCTCATTCTCTCATAACCATTCTCTCTATCATTATTTTTTTTTTTCTCTTTTATTCCCTTTTTCTTCCCACCACTCTTCGAAACTCTTCGCTCTTACGGATATGCTCGAAATTTTCGCAAATTTTTACATTTTATTTCTCTTTCCGACAACGTTCGTCCGCATTTTTCCTTCTCTTCTTTTCTTTTCTTTTCTTTTCTTTTCTTTTCTTTCTTTTTTTCAATCTCCCCTCTTCATCCGCTTCTTCTTCTTTCACTTCTTATTTCTCTTTCCGTACGATCAATATGCAAAATACGCCGATAGCTAGCGTTTACGATTAATGAGAGAATCGCGCCGGTTCAGCAAGGCGGCGTTAACGATATAACAAGCAAATCGATAATACGTTTCGCAGACAAAACGGTTTTTCACCCTGGCCCCCGTATGCCGATGATATTCAAAATTAATAAACGGCGAAAGAAAAAGAAAAAGAAAAAGAAAAAAAAAAAAAAAAAAAA